CGCATTATTATTGTAGTTGGATAAGTTCGTATTGTTATATTATCCGTGCGATTTTCCTTATTTTTGTATCTCCGGTGACCCAATATTTTTCGTATTTATTATTAGACTTATAACTCTATGCGTTATATTGTTAGGTAATTGAAAATTTCGAACGAAGAAAACACGAAATAACGGCAATTATTATAATATTAAACTCGATGTCCATTACAGACGTTCGTATAGATGTTATACACTGCAAATATAATATAATATAGGTTTAAGTAAGGACCCGACGTCACGTCTTCGTTTCTGCGTGGAATTCTGTGTCCTAAATCTTGTTCAAATATATATATATATATTGTATTTTGCGGTAAACAAGTAAAATTTATCATCGACTGCGGCCGAGTAGACGTGAAAAACAAAATGTATAATATACCTATTGGTATTGGCAGGCAGGGAGGCAGGCAGGCAGGCGGCTACGTGCCGCGAATATTGTTATCGAAGTGAAAAGATTTTCGGATTTCCTACAATCTATAAGAGCCTTTAACGCATACGTACCTACCATAGCACAGCCGTCGTTATTGTTATTATACTGGCGTGTACAAACCGCGTGGTTATTATAGCGATGCAATAATAAAACAAAAAAGTAAAAGCGAATAAAGATGAGAGTGCCTGGACACACACACACACACACATATATATATATATACATTATTATTATTATTATTATTATTGTTATAACGTGCGAATGTTCGGTGATTTAAAGGGAAAACAAATTTTTTTTTCAACGCGTACTTATACTGGATATTATTTTTAACGAGTCGACAACATTATTATTCGGCATACGCGTTGGCCGGCAAACAGTGTTTGTTATTTGGAAGAAAAAAAACAGTACCGTGTGCAGCGCAGTATACAACACTCCCTTCGGAACATCCCGGACGCATAACATGCGCGTGGTATACGAATGTGGGACAAGCGGTAATTTCGACAGGTCATAAAAGACCAAACCCATTGTCTCTTGGTGACGTTATAATATCGCGGCCGACGACAGTTATTATTATTGTCGTCGTTATATTTTATCATAATATATACAGAGAGACGCGTGCAGAATATTACTAAAAAAATACTACGTGAAGCGATCTCCGCGATATTCGTTTGATACATTTTTATCCGTTTGAAAAATCCGTATAGGTGCATGCCCCCTAACGATAAGTTTAAAACTATAATAATAATAATAATAATAATAATACAAACTGCAATTCGATAAAACGCAATACAATTTCGAAAATATACTAAACATTTTATTCTAAGTAGATAAATCGTTTGGTACTGGTCCAGTTGACGCTTGCCAAGAAAGTATTCTCCCGCCACTTATTTCACTCGTATTTTCGATATTCTAATCATTTTTTATACAATTTGTATGCTGCGTTTATACTTTTATAGATTATATATTTTGAATAAAAGTAATAATAATAAACTAATAAATATATAACGCAGGTGACAATAATAGATAAATTATACATTTATTTTATGCTAATAATGAGCGTGTGATCAGCATGAATTTACATGCCTATTGCCACAATTTATATATGCTTTTCGTTCAGGCGTTATATCAGGAAAACTACGGGAGTACGGGATAACTGGATAAACGTTTTTCTGATAATATATCACCTGAATCAAAAACATAAAAAATTCTTAGTCGATAGTCATGTTAAAAACTCATGTTGATTACATGTTAAAAATTGACATGAAAATAATGACATTTTCAAATAGGGAGTAGGGGCTGGTAGATTCTACGTTGAAATGCAATAATTCCTAGCCCTCGTATAGAGATTGAAATATTGTGAATATCAGATTTCGTAATCGAACACTTGTTATGTGTGTCCTTTCCGCGACAGATTTCACATTTTGCGTCAGTCCAAAACCGACAATACGGCATAGTTTACGTTGCGTTTCTTCTTTGAAAACGATTCATGACGAATGTTGCCTTTTCGTTTGTAAGCGCTGCATATTGTCTAAATGGGTCTAAATGGGCACCTATAGGTATATTTTAATGTTAACACGAGAATTCCAAAAGATCAAAGGCTTTACGGTTTTTTGTTTTAGTTCAACCGGTGCAGGGAAGTGAGACGGTGTAGTAAAATGAAAAATGAAAAACGAATTTTAAATCACGTTGTCCCTTGTCAACGGTGCCAGGCAGCCGCCACATTCACATGGCCGCTTCGGTAACAAATACACTCTTCGAGCACACTCCGAACAATATAGCGTGTCCTATCCGCGTATACCTATATTATCGTTTGTGCGTGTATAATACGCGGTGTGAAAGTTCCGGAGGATTAATCGAAAAAGCGGTCGTAGACACAATAAAAAAAAAAAAAAATAATAATAATAATAATGATAATCAATAGGCTCCGCTCGGATACCGTTTGAGACCGTCGGGATTTCCGTCCGCGTGCGCATCATGTTATTATAATTTTAAACGACGTGCGCGGCCAGAGGCGGCGTTGGCGAGGACCACGATGTTCGGAAAATAATAAGTCGAAACGCAACATTATATTGTTTTTTTTTTCATAACGCGACGAGACGGCCCGTTCGCCGGCGGGATTCGACGGGCGAGAGGGGAGGGGGGGGGGAATGGAAAAAAAAAAATGTTAAATAATATTAACTATTACGCGTTATAATGCGCGTCTCCGGACTCTCCGCGGCGTCGTCCCCCAAAAGGCGTACTACACGAAATCCATTAACCGGCCGTTATTTATTACGCCGTCCGATTACGGCGTTATTATAATAATACAGGTACACGACGCGTGTCGACTTACAGTATTATACATTATTACGTCCGAGAGCGGTCCGGTTTACACAAGGTCAAGGTTGTCCGCCGTAGAAATCACGTAATTTCACCGGACTCGCTGTGCTGCCGCCGCCGCCGCTGCTAACCGAGCGGGTACCATCCGGTACGTTTTAATAATATCATACGAGCGCGTTGTTATGCATAATGCGGGCACGACATGTGCGTATAAATTTAAAAAAAATAACATGAGGTATACGGAACGGTGGATCCGGCCCGGTGAAATTCACCCGGGGTACACAGGCGTAATATTTGTTTGTGGTCGTCCTTGAGCGAGCGCGTTTTCTTCGTCCTCCGTCCATTCGCGTCGCTTTGGTTTTTTGTTTTTTTTTTTTTCTTCTAGGCTTTTCGTTTTTTTCACGGGCCGGAAAGTCCCGAAAACTCGTCACTCGTCCGATCCGGATGCCGGAGACCGCAGCGTACAATATCATACTGTTGCTAGTGTATACAGCGCGGGTTATTTGTTCACGGGTTGTCGGCGACATTATTCTACGGAGATTTCGAGTAAATTCGAATTTTCGGTTTTCATTTGCAATATTCACACGACATCGCTTTTGAACAATAAAAATTGACACTGGTTTCAGCGACAAGTATTTTCCGCGACGCCTGAAAAGAGAACAACATTATCGAGAAGTTTAAATTTGTCAGTATATTTTAAACTAAAACATGTGTTACCAACACTTTATAACTTTTATAATATCTCACCTATAACAGTGGCCTACCCACGGTTGGAAGTATTTCTGGCTTTTTTTTTAATTTTAGCAAATATTATTCAAACAATAATTATTATTGTCTGTATATATATTTTATTTATTGGAAAATATAACTTATTTTCAATCCATACTTTGGTTTAAATGTTTAAATTTTATAATTCATAAACGGTATTTCACCGATATTTTTATATTTTAGAAACTCAGTTTAAAATACGGAGCGGGTACTGGGGACGGGCGCAACCACTGTTGTAGGTGGAAATTTGATAAGGCAGGATACATACAATTATTTAATTTATATCTATATGCGACGATAAATCATTGAAACCGAACTTCGGTCGGAATCGTATACGAAACATAATTTTGAGCGAAGTTCAGTTACCCATGTTTTGAAATGTGATTTTTACGATTTTCGTCTAAATGTTTTAACTATTAAACATTATGTTAAACACACATATAAAAAAAGTAACTTAATTCTATTTTTTTTTTTTTTACCATTAAGTAAAACTTTGATGAAGATAGTGAAACATTTCCAAGCATTTTTGCTCAGTCAAAACAATTTTATCTACATAACACCAAATAAAAATTAAAAACCTCGAGCAAATTTAAAATACTTATAAATAGCTTAAAAATCTCTAGAATGTTTTGGAAATTTTAGAAAAAGCATGTATACGTATTATGAAAAATATCAAACCTCTATGGTTATTTTTAACTAAATTCTTAAACAAACAAAGTTTTAGTTAATGAAACTTCCGTCGTAAACTATCTCGTTTTTCCAATTTTTTCCAAATATTGATAACGGAAAAGGAAATCTAAAAATGAACATTCAGTGCACCGATTAAACGGAATCTAAAACGTGAGTAGCTATTTGAAAATCAATAGTCGATTCAGATGTGTCTGATTTAGATTAATATTAAACGATGTTGTAATTATCGGCGTGGGAACAACAAAATTTGCATAGCTAATCGCTGGTCCGTGACAAAATAACCACCCTGTAAACCCATAACATATATATTCTACACATGAGTATTATAATTTTGCCCGACGGTATATTCTATGTAACTATCTAATATTATTAGATTCGATTTCTAGAGATTTCATCACACCCGCCACACGACGACTACGGGGGTCCACGAATGGTTTTTTTTTTTCGGTTTTTATATATTCAAAGCTGACGGCCGCACTCCGTACGTACGGTACGGTCGTTATGTAAATCCGGTCTGTATAATAGGTATTATACGATAATATTATTATAGGAACGTTATTATTATTACACAGTCGATAGCTGTATATTATATTATAAAATTGAATCATTTAACCGTTATAAATTATAGTCGATAGTATCGACTTGATACCGCTTACGGGTAGGCCATCGTTTTAAGTGGGTAGTTGGGAAGTTAGGATATACAGGTCATAATTCAGTTTACATACTGTAGCCAACGATAAACCATTGCAAACGAAAAAACAATTCTGGATGGATTATCATTAGTAGTGTTTTTCTCCTGTTGTCAAAGTAACCTAGAAATCAACAAAACTAGAATAACAAGAAAAATATCTGAACATATGAACTGGAGGAATTTCGATAAATGTTTTGATTAAAATACCACAGGGCAAAAATTTCGCATTTTTTAAGATGTTGCATGGGATAATTGGAGTATTCACCTAACTAGTAAAGTGTTTTGAAAAATTAAAAACCCGTACAAACAATTGGAACATGTATTAGGAAACTCGAAAACTGTTTCAAATGAAGTATCAGGCAAAGCATGATACAGACATACTTCGCATGATGGGCGGACCATCGTTGTAGGTGAGAAGTTGGGAAGGTAGAGGGGAAATATAATGTATGCTGCGACGATTCTGAGAGGAGTTCGGTTAATAGTGTTGCTTTGTCAACAATATATATGTCATATTATGGTAAAATAATTACATATTATGCACACCCTCTGTGCCGAATTGTCCCACAAACTACGGTGGCAACATCCTTATTTATCGTATAATGCGCATGGTTAATGAACCACCTACCTTTTTATCATAACCACTTTGTTATTGTTTTATCGTTATTTTTTTTATAAATTAAAAACTATACTTATATGTAATATGTAATTGGACTTGCCCGTAATGTTTTAAATAAATAAACTGTTGTATTGATATTATCAAATTCAGCCAGAAATACCGTCTTTTAGATATATGTAACACTGTACCATATTTTTGATTTTTTTTTTTTTGATTCATTATTTAAATTAAAACAAATTGTATTAAATAACCCAAGTTAATTAACTTCTTAGTATTAACTATGTATACGAATAATTGTTTGTAAGTTTATTGTACGAATCTTCAAACTATTTTCTTCTGTGTACATTTCTTATTGTCTTTGTACTGTATTATTTACCCTTTTTGAGTGTTAAAACAACAATCTATTGATTGTTAATAAATAAAAATAAATTATATTTGTTTAATATTGTACTTACTTTAGCGTTTTTCTTACATTTTTTCCGGTTTTTCTCATTTATTATGAAAACAATTGGGGAAAATTAAAAAATGACATCCTTAAAGCACCATTCAAGTCAGATTTCCTTTCAGAAAAAATGCTATAATTAAAAATTGGAGTGAAATTGGTAGTAGAAAAGTTGTCCCCAGGAAAAAAACTAACATTATTGTAAAACTAATACATTCCTCCGCTCAGAATCGAAAATTAATACCATTTTTACAAACAATTAAAGTGTTTTTCCAGAAGGAAACAAAACACGTATTTGTAGAATTAATAACTTCATTATTGTACACGAAATTTAATAGTGAACATTTTGGATTTTGAATGGTAAATGTTTACTTAGTGAAAAAAATATTAATTTTACTAACAATGTGTTTTCGTAAAACACTTTTCGGCTGTTTTAAAAACGATCAGATTTTTTCGTGCTATACTAGATTACCAACTTTTTTATAATACTTGCAATAAATTTTTTGAAAAAATTCCGAAATTTTAATCTCAAACAATGTTAATAATCTAACACATAAGGCGATTTTTTTTCTGCGAGGAAAGCAAACACAAGTAATACTGTTCAATGTTACCATTTACCAGTTTACCGAGCTCCGCACATAGAATGGTTTTTTGATTGCTAATATCAGTGGCGTATCCAGAATTTTTTTTCTGAGAGGTGGGAGGGGATTGAAGAAAAATGTAAAAAATGATTTTATTTTGAATTTTGTATGTATTAAAATCATAAATTAAACTTTTTACAGCGCTAATTATATAAAAGTTTAAATATTTATCTTTTTTAAAAATTATAAATGTATACTCATTTTTTGTTTTATTTTTTTAGCAAGTTCATCTATAATATCATTGATATTCACGTTGATATCGCGATGGATATATTTTAGTAAAGCTAAACCATTTAAACGTATTTGTCCCGAAGAATTTCTCAAATATGTTTTCAAACGACGGAATGTTGAAAACGATCGTTCTCCTTTGGCAGTAGACACTAGAGATGTTATGAATATTTGAAGAAGTTTAGATATTAATAAATAAACATCTGGACTAGTTTGGAAGTATATTTCAATAGCATTTTTCAATAGCAAACAAAATTATTCAAAACAATTCTGTGCGATATAAATCTTTCGTTTAATTGGTCTAAAAATTATCTATAAAATGTATGAATACTGAGAACTTAAAAAAATATCCAGGATCAGCTGATTTAGATGGACGTGGAGAACTAACAATAATATCAAATTTTTCATAGACAATTATTAAAGATAAAAATAATTGTTGAAATTCTGCATCATACTTTTCTCTAATATCCTGAATATTATTTTGAACATTAGCAGCTTCTAATGCAGTTCTCAATTCAAGAATTACCGATTGAAGATATCGACTAAGTGGAAAACTTATGGAATGTATAGTCACTATAATAGATAAAACTGTTTGAAATGTTAACTGCTCTATTATCGCAGTAAGAAGATGACTTGCAGGACTAGAATTATTATTTTTTTTATTTCGAAGACATTTCGAAGGGGAGTTGTTACAACCCTCTTACCCCCCCCCCACTTGGATACGCCACTGGCCAATATGTATTCTATAATGATATGTATACTTTGGTGCGAAATATAAAATAGCCGGGTTGTTTCAAAATTAATCTAAGGGACTTCTCGTTTATTTAGCGTGACTTCATCAGGTTATTTCTATTGACTTGCCTACCTTTCAGATTTTCAGCTAGACACTGAAATCCGCTTGTTAATTTATAAATTCCCAAGACTTTCGCCGTCGGCCATAATCACTATAATAATATTATTGTTTTGTTTCGATATGACTATATTGGCGTACGTATATAATAATACCTACTGACACGGTATTTAAGCACATTCCGACAATATAAAATAAGTAACCGATTGATGTATAGACATATTCATATACCTACGTAAGCTGAAACGTCGATGACGGATATTAAATCGATGATTATATTTTTTTAATTCTAAGGTGGCTAGAGGTCGAGAAGATCAGAAACGATATACATATAATATTCTACTTATTATTATTTCGAGGTCAGTCGGGTCCATATAGACACCTGACATATGCCAATTTGGCTCAAAAACCGTTTGGCTTTCGCGACGTTGAAATACAAATAATTTATGAAGAATCGATTTTGTATTATAGCCGGTATTGTGCTCGTGTAATACTTTCGAATATAATACTGGGCGGTGTAGTGTTCACTTACGAGTGTTTATAGTGTTTATACGTTATGCATTTTACGAACACGATTGATTATTCGTGTTCGTTTGCACGTCGTAGTAGTGGCGATATTTTTGTAATTTTAATTTTAGATTATGAATGCTACGAAAAATCGTTTAGTTTGACAAAATTGTTTTTCCTAGAAAAGTTCTTTTATGGTTAGTAAAAATGATTAGATTTTTTCGTAGCATAATTTAAAATATGAAGATTTGTCTTTTATTGTAGTGTCTATTGTTTTAGTACCTACTGGATTATAAACTTCTTATTCTTCTCCTTCCCCTACATCCCTACTATTTAGAGTCAGGAAACCTTGTCCTAAGTTCCCACTTGACCCAATCTCTTACATCTTGCATACACCGACCGTCCTCATATCCGTCTCAATCGCATCCATGAACTACTTGAACCACTTCTTTTTCAGTCTTCCTCTTCCCCTATTCCCTCCTTTATTTGCATTATCATTCCTATTGTACCAGATTCCTCTCTTATCTTGACATGCCCAAACCTTTTTTTTTTGTATTTCCATTCATTTTGTACACCGTCGGTACTTTTACCACCTAATATGTATTCGTTCCTAAAATATTATCTTCTCTTGTTACTCCACTGATTCACCTAACCATTATCATCACCGTTATACTTATTATCTATTTAAAACAAAATTAAATTTTTATGTTTTTAAAACACATTTTTAACTATGCTCAGTTCATTTTAAACTAAATTACCTTCCCGATTTCTTACCTAACAGTAATCTACCTGTGATAAGAGTGTGTTCGGTTTTTATATTGAACATAATTTTTGATGTTGTGAATTTTAAAAAAAAAAAAAAATCGAACTTTTATTTTCAATCTATACATCTTTTGAATTACGTTTCATGTTACGTTCTGAATCAATGCCGTTGGACATAATAATATTATTGATTATGTATGCACCTGCATGACAATGCGTACTATGATCTAGAAGATAGGAAGTTTCATAACCGTGATTTCACTTAAGAATTGCATTTTTAAATACGATTTTTTTTTTACAATCGAAATATCTTGCGCATTACGAGTCGACAATAACCTATTATAATAATGGGTACTATATAACAGCGAATGCCTAATAATTCATATAGAGATTTTAATCGAATTAAACAGGAAATAAACACAATAACAATAATAATATTTATTATGTATCCTCGTGATACAAAAATTATAGTTCGTTAAACAGCTCTTATATACTGAATAATAATAATTTTTCCTTAAAATAAAGACAATGTACTACAACGAAAATTACAATATACGGTTAATATTTTTTCCACTGTCATTGAATATAATTTCATAATGATGACTTTTTCTTCGTTGAATATTATATTTTTATTATATGTGGTTGATGTATTTGAATAACATATTATCTTTTTGATAGACTTTCTAACGAATTTTCCTCCTATTAAGTAAACACGATTATTATTATTTGTTCACGTTAAAAAGTCAAATAAATTTTACTTATTAAAACTGAAGAAATCTTAAGGAAGTTAAACAAAAAAAGACCAAAGTAATGTCATGTAATGAACTATGAATTTTATTAAAAAAAATAGCAAACATAAATATTAATAGAGCATCTATTAAGTAAGTGCAAAACTACCTTCGCGGTAAAATAACAAAAGATGGTAATAGCAAGTTAGATATGTATAATTAGAAGAACTGCATAAGAAAAACGAGATTTTCAAAATAAAATAAACACGTCATATTAACCACGAAAATTATGGAACTTGACACCATGAAAATAAACGAACGGAGTGTACATAATACGGACGTAAAACCTGTAGAGTATGCGCAATCGAGAAGAAAAAACTAGAAAAATAACGTGGTGTTATCAAAATATGCTCAAAATTTCACGGTACGATAGAATAACAAATTAAGAAGTATTAAGGAAAAAGGCAACTTTGATAAATTTAAACAAACATAGAAGGAATAATGTAATATACCACGTAACGTGCCATGATAAAGATGATTATTAAAAGTTATGTAGTATGTGGGTCGTAAAACTGTACAGAAGTGAAAAGTCGTGAAAGGGGGGGGGGGCTGAAAGATATCACGGAGAAGCACGGAGAGCTGTGGTCAAACAATCGAAAGATTGAAGACCAAGAAAAAGAGTCTGCGTTATAATATTATTTATATACTTGTAGCACAACGTATTATACAAGATTAACGTCTCAAATGTATTTTGAGCTATATTATGGTCGAGATGAAGATAATCTTTACTCATTAGTTAACCGACTGGAGAGAATATGGAGAGAAAATCTCCATACTATCGAAACTGGTTGTTCATCGCATTTAATATTATCTATAAGTATACTTTACGAAACATAAAAAAAAGTACATAGTATATTGTATTGTATAAATGGTAATTTTACCTAAATAATAGTTTTGTGGATCGTGATGTGATGTGATATTATAGTACTATATTATTTATGCGATGATGGCGATGACCCACAGGATTTTAGTAATAGTCTCCAACGATGCCGCGACACGTGTGTGAGATTACCATCACTCCGGATGAGACATAAAAAATCTAAAAAAAAAAAACTATTTTTCGAGATACGATCGATCGATACGTACCGCATACCCGAATGGGGAATAGAAAGATGTTATACATTATCAAAACCTTCTTTTTTTGCCGTTTCATAATTAGTTAATTACAATTATTTTTAAAATATCGGTTAAAATTACATTGTTAAATATTTATATGAATTGATAACTAAATAAAAAGTAATACAGAATGCGTATTTAATATTAACTATTTATTTAAATAACTGACAGTATTGTGAGTTAGCATATTAGTTAACAGAAAAACAGAGTTGAGCTTAATATACTAGCTGAATACGAGTTTTCAGTACGAATTTTAACAAAAAAAAATTTTAAAAAAAGGAAGTACTTCGCACGTGGTTGCAGCCATTGTTGTAGGTGGGAAGTTGGGAAGGTAGGATACAGGCGGGAATTTAATGTTAACTGTAAGCAACGATAAATCATTGTTAACGGAAAAACGATTCTGAACGGTGTTCAGTTGATAATGTTGCTTTGTTAATAATATTTATGGTAAAATAATTAGGTAGACTCTATATATTTTCTTTAATAATAATTATTTAATTTTGTACCGATTTTCTCAATTCTCCTACATTTTTCCTGGTTTTTAGGCATTAAACGTTTACCTTAATAATATTGTATAGATTTTCTATCGTTTTTTCCTGTTTTCTGATAAATTTCTGATTTTTCCCATTTATCGAGAAAACTCCTGGGAACATCGGAAAAACAACGTCCTTTAAGTACCTTTTCGGTAAAATTTCCTTTCAGAAAAAGTGCTATTATTGTAAATTGGAGCAAAATTGCTGGTAGGATAGTTGTTTACCGGAAAAAAAAATTTAGTATTTTACTATACATTTGTACATCTTGCCGTTTTCCCTCTATTTTTTTTGGTTTTTCTTATTTGTTGAAAAACTTTTGGGAAAATCAAAAAAGTTACCTCCCTAAAGTACCTCCCCAAGCCGATTTTATTTTAGAAAAGGTGCTAAAATTCGCTCCACTCAGAATCTAAAATTACGGAATTTTTAAAACACGTTTAACCGATTCTAGCACAAAATCGTACTTCGTCAGAAATTAATTTATTGGTGCATGTGGATATTAATTAAATAATTGTAAATATTATCCTACCTTTCTCAACTTCCCACCTATACAGTGTTATACTCATCATTAATAACAACTTTTTTTTTTGAATTTTATATTACCTGGATTTTTTTTTGAGAGACTTAAAGATTCGATTCTGAAATTTTTCCGCTTATAGGTTTACCTTTAGGAAATTGTACACTGCGTTTAACAATATTTCAAATAATTATTCGCCGTGAGAAATATGACGAAATAAAATTGTAATAAACGTGATATGATAAATATATTAATAATACTAATGTACGACAACGGACAAGACAAGTATTAAAATATCGATAATTGATTGTGAGAAAACTGAAAAATGATGAGTGATATCTATGTCTGCACAGGTCACAGTCATACGAGGTACCCATAGGTCTAAATTTGTATTTCGTCGTCCTTGTCATATTAGTGCTATGATAAATTAACCAAAACTTACCTAAAATAACTTTTTTAAATTAAAAACGATAGGTACGCAAACGATACTTGTAATATTTAATTAAAATCAAAAAAAATGGAAGGAAACTTGTTATTTCTATTGTTTCAATATTGTTTAAGTCATTGCAACGGCTTTAAATATTGTGAAACATTTTTGTTATTGACTTAGGTATCGTGTTTCTCACAAAAACTGTTCATCTATGCATGTAGTTACGACGACGAGGCAACGGCACGTGTTCTCATTGACCGGATGCGAGATGTTATAACAGAACAAATTTAGAAGGAAAAAAAAATAAATCAGTTTTCCGACTAGGTACGCGCTCGCTCGATACAATATATACGTGGGAAACGCGATCGTGGAAAAAAAAAGTTGCTCGGACACACGCACAAAAAAAAAAAAAATCGTATTATAATAACACCAATGCGCATTCCTCGCTCCGTTCAGAATCTAAAAAAACCCTCCGAACCGGAGACTCTTCTGACGGGGCTCGCGTCCGCAGCTGGAATAGACGAAATGAGGCGGCGGCGGCGGCGACGATGACGCCGCCGTCGTCGTATTTCACTTTCTACCGGGGCGAGGCGCACTATTACTCACCGCGGAAACGCCGCCGTAATAGCGTCTCCGCCGTCGTCGTCTACGGTTTTTTTTTTTTTTTTTTTTTTTTTTTTGTTTTTTCTTTACTTCTTCTCCGACCGAGTGGCGGGGGGACACGGCCGTAAACGCCACCGCTGCCCGGGCGATATATATAGGGACCGCCGTCCGCCCGTTTGTCCCATTATCGCACCGATCGTCCGTCCCGACACGTTTCCAGCGCGACCGCCCGCGAGAATTCGTGCCTTTTCTTCCGAAAAATTCTCGTATTATTTTTATAATAACATAAATATTCTCGCGTCTTTTCTTCAACGAAACCGTTTCAAGTATGCGTTTCGCGTGTTGCGCCGTTTTGGCGGCAGTCTTGCCGATCTGCCTGCACGCCGCCGTCGTCGCGTCCGGCCTACAGCAGAACGAGGATAACTACCTGCAGCAGACCGACGGGCCGCGTGACGGACGTGCCGTCGCCGAGCAACCGACCAACGGCAACTGGGCGATGATGGTCCGCGTGGCCGACGAATGCGCCCGCGACCCGGACACGGCCGCCTGCGTGGCCGTCAAAGCGGCCACGGCCCTCGAACGGGCATCCCGCATACCCGGCAACGTGCAAGTCCTTCCCGGCCTGACCCTGGTCCGGAACGCGGACGAAGGCTCGGCCCAGCGAGACTCCCGCGCCCTGCCCACCGAGGACGAACTCCGCAGCCAGCTCATCCAGGACCCAGCCCAAGACCGCACGTCCAAGCTGACCGAAATGGTCGTCAACTCGGCCCTCCGTTTCGTGCAGTCCAGGTCCCTGCAGTTCAAGTTCCCGCACACCGACCCCGAAGAATTGTCCAGAGCCATCGAAGAAGGTGAGTACCGCGCAGGCATATGATAATATTATTTAACCCGTGTCGTTGCAACACGACATCGGTTCACACGTTTCTATTCGTCCGGTCCGGAACTATTAATTACACTTGCTAGCCTGCACTGTACGACGCAATATTGTAGCGCTGCGATATTACCGTATTAACCCGTTGCGTTTATCGCGTGTTTTATAGGCCGCGGCAAGCTGAAGAAAAAGTTCATGCCCATACTCGGACTGCTGGCCGTGAAAATCGTCGCCGTGCTGCCCGTCCTGTTGGGAATCATCGGGTTCTTCGCGCTCAAGGCCCTCGTGTTCGGCAAACTGGCGCTGCTCATCGCCGGCGTGATGGCCCTGCAGAAGTACGCCGGTTCGTCAGCCGGAGGTTTCGGCAAGATCGCCGCCGCCGACACCTGGTCCACGGCCAACACGGCCAGCGCGTGGCCCGCGGCCGCCGCTGCCCCGAGCACCAACGGCGGATACTACAGACGCAGCATGGACGCCGCGGCCGCCCAACAGATGGCCTACGGCGCGCAGGCCCAGCCGTCCGTACAGACCGTCGCGTAACCCGCGTCGCCACCATAACATATTATAATAATACCGATAACACGACGATAACGTAACCACGAGTTTTCTATCTCGGTTTTTTTTTTTTTTTTTTTTTTAGTCCGTTAAGTTTTTAATTTATACACTATCATTTTTAAGCGTTCTATTGTAATTAGGTATGTTTATTTTTTTTTTTTTTTTTTACCGCCGCTGTAGTAGTCTCACGCGACAATCGCACATTATTCTTAGCTATGATGTTAGACGTAGACCGTAAAAAAAAAAAAAAAATAAATCGGATAGCGTACACAATACAAGGGACACTCGCGACGCTCTGTAATTCGTCCTCTGTATGGCACGCCTTCCGACGCCGAGTAACTTTTTGCCATAATTATAGTCTTTTAATAGTGTGTTAATAATAATATTAAGTATATTGTCGGGTCGCCGACCGGCGTGAATTACGACGCGGTTTCCACGAGAAAAGACTTATTTGTTATCGTCTAGTAATGTTCTACAATACTGTACTCACCTGCACTATTGCTATCCTGTTATACCGCGGAAATATCGTACGTACGTTGTATTATAATTATCATTGTAAGAGACACGTGACGAAAAGTTACCGGCTCGTGTTTGGCCAAAACGGCTGATATTTTTTCAAACACAAAAATAATTAGATTATTACCCATGTAAACTCTAAGAGTTGATAATATAATAACATTATTATCGTATTTTAATAAATTATTATATTATTATTTTTTTTTTTTTTTTTTGTTTTTTCTATTAAGTTCAACGCCAATAATTATTGTAATAACCGTAGACGACGTATACGCGTACGCCGAAAACTAACAAAACATTATGCGACCATTAAAACGCAAAATGTACGTGTCATTGTAAATATTATCATAATATTATTATTATTATTATTATACCTGTAAAATTAATGAAAATATAAAAATCAATTACTGAACTAACCGAACGTGTGCGTTTATTCTATTATTTGTTCGATTGTTTTCCTTTTCCCGTCTACGCGACCTACGACGCGACCTATTCGCGTCGCCTACGGTAATAATATTTGTTTTGTTTGTTCCGAAAAAATTAAAAAAAAAAAAAAAAAAAGACAAACTAAACAATGGCCACGGTGAGCGGTCGGTTGGCACTCGTTTTGTGTGTCACACACGAGCTATGAATTTATTGTTTGATTTTGATAATTGAGACTGTGTGCAAAATAATAACAAAAAAACAAATAAAATATCTTCGAAGAGAAACGCCGCGTTTTAAGTACGCACTGAAACATTTCAATAGAATGTCGCGAAATCATACGATTTCGGATTTTCGTATTAATTAGGTAACTATATAAAAAAAAAAAAATTACCCGGGTAGATAATTTAGGAATATAATTATTCGACTTTGTTCCATTGTACACCTACCGCGTACTATAATTTCAATTGATTCTCCTCCTCTTCAATTATTATCCGCAGTACGGTTTTCCTTACACCTGCCTGGTGGCGTATTTACGAATGGAAATCGGGGATATAATATTATATCCCCCATTTTTAAAATTAACAATTCAATTTCTTAATTATTAAAACACGAATAAGTGTATCGAAAATAAAAAAACCTACACGTACGCATTTTCTTGTTTAAAACGAAACCCGTACCCGAACCACTATACACAACAATATGAGGGAGATTAAATTAGTAATGGGTACCCAAATACTGTAAACATAATTTTGCGAAACAAATTTTAAGCGAAATTCGGTTTTACATGGTTTGTACAATTTATGATTCGTAATTTTTACGATTCAAGTTAAGATTTGATCTTAAAAAGATTATGAAGAAAAAACCTACAACCCTGTTACGCTGTTTGTTTATATTTTTACCACTAATTTCAATTTATAATGAACCTCGTGTTCAATTTTTATGCGATTCTGTTGCACTTCTGTTCAAAATGTGTTTGATACTTGGGAAATAAAGAAATAATAACAATAATAAAGTACAGAACTCTTGGGTGGAAAAGAATTGAAATTTATATTGATCCTCAGCTTCGAGACTTTATTGTCACGATGTCGTTTATTAATCTGTTCGCATACAATACTGTGTCCAAAACTAGTGTATCGTTGTTCGTCATTATTTTTTTTAGTTATAAGTAGTGCCGAGAATTAAAAAAAAAACCTAACCTAACCTTCGAAATTCACTGACAGTAGCGCGCGCTAAGGGCACAGGCTCAGGGTAAATCTCCCCTCTCCTTATTGGCTTAAAAATACAACAACTAGGTATATATTTTAGTAATTCTATCTTGAAATTATACATCTTAGCCAAATTACAAGGAAAATGCTTGACGAGTTGAATAAAAATTGGCTTTTCAGTTTTTTGGACCTAGTTTACAAATTCTCATTGTCGAGATAGGTTAGGTATAATAGAAAAAAATTGTATTATTTATTTAAGAATCATGATTCACTACAGCCCCTCTCATTGAAAATTCCTGGTAACGTCACTGTTCACCGTCTAATACTCAAATGCTATAGCTGCAGAAACTCTCGATAAATTTTTGAATAACAATAAAAAAAAAAAAGCTGCCCTAGGATAATGGGGACGGGTGTAGCCACTGTTGTGGGTGAGAAGTTAGGAAGGTAGGATATAGCCAAGAATTTAATGCATATCTGTGAGTAACGATTACCCTTGCTAACAAAATAACGATTCTGAGCGGAGTTCGGTTGATTAAATTGTTCGTCAACAATATATATGTCATATTATGATAAAATAATTGCACATGCATTAAAATTGTGTTTAATAATAATTGCTTAATATCGCACTTATTTTCCTGTTCTTCAAGTTGTCCCATGTTTTCTCTTGGTTTTACCAATTTTTTAGGAAAACTCCTGGGAAAATCTAAAAATTACTTTCTTAAAGTATTTTTCCAATCAGAATTCCTTTTAGATAAAGTGCTATCATTGTAAATTGGAACAAAATTGCTCGTAGAAAAGTTTTTAACAGGGAAAAATAGTCCGTAATATTTTACTAATAAATTTCATACATTTTCCCGTTAGTCCTCCGTTGTTCACAGATAAAAAAAAAAATAAACATAATTTTAAAACCAATACATTCCTTGCTCATCTCGGAATCTAAAAGAGCTAAAAATGGGTTGGAGAAATTATAAATCGCATTGCATATTATAACAGAGGTACTTGTGTACCAAATACTTATATTTAAACTTAAACATATGTTCTTTCCGTCGCAATTTATTTTTTGTCAATTTATTTACAAATGAATATATTATCTATTATACAGAGTGTCCCACGAAGATATGAACCCATTGAAGTTATTAACTTTTTTCAGAATTTTTTTTAACAAATTAAGAACCAAATAGCACTAAAATATTACATTACAATAATAATCACTTTTTGGAAGGGGAAGGGGCTGAAAGACTAGGTACTTACTTTTGGTTATCAAATGACAACCTATATAGTCAAAATTTCATGAATATATGTGGGATTTGTTTCAATATACATTCTTGATCATCGTCAGCAAAAACTCGTTAACGAGATATTCTAAACTAGAGTTTGAGTAGCGGAAGGGTAGTGGATCACTATTCAAACGCAGCACGCCGTGCCACCACACTACTTTCCCTATGCCCAAAATTAAAAACGGAATATCTCCTCAGTAGGATTGATGAAAATCAAAAATTTCAAATAATACAATTTATTTAAACTAAGATTCTATCTATTTCTAGAATATTTACTGTAGGTCGATAGTCAAGAGTAGTTAATCGGTTCACCCCCAAGAATTAGGGCGACATAAAATAAAGGCGATGTAACATTTTAGAACTGCTTGATTCTTTAGTTACAGAAAAAAAAAAAAAAAAAAAAACGAATTCCAAAATCAGTTAATACATTCCGAGATATCGCAGTGGATATATCCTCGTGGAATACCCAGTATAGTGTACAATGTACATTTATTTTTTACAGAAATACGTGCGAAATATAATACAGTGGACGTAGTCATTAGTCAAGTACATAAATATATTGATCCGGAAATTATTTACTTCCTGTTTGGGAACCTGAAAATAGCAACAACCGTTTATATATTGTATTAATAATGCAGAAGAAATTTCCCAAACGATTACTGTTATTTGACGAGTAAAATGTTTAAGTATTGTCTTGGAGGCGGAATTTTTCGTTTTCGACAAAACGTATAATACGCGTAGTGTCGTACCTATATTCAAATAATATGATTTTTCGCGGGAAATTGTTTAGACCTGTACATTATTGCCGTAAATTTTTCTCCGTACGTATATAATACAGTATACATTATGCGTGACTCGTTAAATAAACGTCCGCGTCGGCACTTGACAAACGTATGAATCGCGTTTGTATAGGAGAGGTCCTCCGTATGCGTGGTATAATTATTGACAAATGACTGTACATTGAAAAAAAAAAAATAATAATAATAATAATAATAATAATAATAAAAAATATATGCACAAAAAAATGACCTGTGTATAATGGATCTAACTATTGTGTTTTGCAGACTGCACTTTCTATGATTTGCGGTACGCGTCGCAATAAAATTCTATACGGATTTCTTTGATTAATTAATAGGTATGTAGGTATATATATATATATATATATATATATATATATATATATTTAGTACATACCTATCTACCTACTTACGATTTAAAAACGTATTTAATAAATTATGACTTTCCTCCTTCGGCCAATATGAATTGCGTTATTTTTGATATAATGTAATATTAAATAGCTACACGAATTTTTTTTTTTTTGTTACTATAATTACCGTCGACGAAGAAAATTTTAAACGCACATAATACATTACAGTGGCGAAATCTAAATCATTCCGTTTTGCCGTAATTGGGCAGATTGTAATACCATTTCATTATAACCGTCTGTAAATTAGACTTGAACCGAATTGTGTCGGAACAACAATAATAATATTATAACGACCGTGCAAAAGTTTCTCGCACGCGAAATTTAAATATATAATATATATATATATATATTGTAACACGGAGATCTGACATCGGAAATGACTTTTGTACCGTTCAATACTTTTAAGTTTTATTTTCTTGCGAGGACAATTAGTAATTATTATTTTTTAAGACTACAAATAAAATATGTTTTTTTTTTTTTTTTTTTTTCAAAATATTAGATAACCGAGATGTGTAAATATACTTTGAAACAAAATTTTATAGTCATGACTATTCTTAAACTACGAATCGTTAATTTTTTAAAATTTTTAAAGTAACAATAGTATAAAGTACCTCTACTAAATTATACTGTCTAACAATTCGCCAATATTTTTCTCCATAAAGAATTATTTTGTTGATAATTTACGACTGTGTACAATTTATAAAGTGCTATGTAACTGCGGTGTTCAATTTTCAAAGATTTCTGTTTGGTCAAACTATTTTGTCCACTTAATATATCTATCATGCGAAATCTAAAAAATACCTCAAAAATGTCAAATGCCTACAAATAGCCAAAAAATTACCCGAATGTTTTGAAAATTTTACTACGTTAAAAGAAACCAATATAAGTATTCTCTGGATATTTTTATGCGATTTACAAAAAAAAAAAAAAATAAGTAATGAAACCGTTATTTCGGTAAACTTGTCAGTTTATATGCAAATTTAAATTTGTTGTCAAAATTTCAAGTCTCTATGAAAATTGTTAACTAAATTATAACAAGAAAATAATAAAAAAAAATATTTGTACAATTTTTCTTGTTCTTTCTTTCTTGTTTCTACATTTTTTTTTAATTTTCTCAATTATTTAACTATTGGAAAAATCAAAAAACAAGTTTCGTAATCACCAACTAGATTAAAATGCAACGAAAAAGGTATCTTGTCGTGCTCAACTTGAGCAAGATTTCTGGTAAAACTATAAAGCATACAACATTAAAATAATGAAATCATAACGACGTAAATTGATCAGTTTCTATTTTTCGTCTGTTT